CCGATTATGTAAAAAAAAAGAGGTATGTAACGTTTTTCGTTACATTATCTTTATTTACTTTGAAGAGCATATCCATCAAGTTTCATATGTATAATATGATAATATAATACGATTTGGTAAAACGATGAAACACATTTTTACACATTTGTTTTGAAGCTTACGTCACAAAAGACACACTGCAGTAATCACCCTAAGACTTAAGATTTACCGTTCCACGCGCCCGAGTTTCAACTGTGCAACAAAGTAATGTCCTAATTAAAGTAAAAATAATTTTGTTGTGTTGCATAATGTGCTGCGTTGGCTGATGGCATCATACAATATCACAAATTGTATTACGTTAATAGGTACTTACTGTGGATGAAACTGAAAAGTAGATAGGTGCGACACCACTATTAGCGACAATAAGTATGATCGGTACATGGAAAAGATACATCGCGTATGATAACCGGGATGGCAGCTTCCACATTCGAAGAGATAGAATCCAATTTATTGGACCTGAAAATTGAAAACGTGTGATATGCTATAATACCAACGCAGCTGCGCACTCTGTTTTTGCTATCGGCCACGGTCTTGCAAATGTAAGTAATGTAGAAAATATCACAATCGTCATGAACACACCATAAGTCCCACTTCTGAGTACAGGTCTCCTCAAAGTTGAAAGTTTAGCCTATAGATCGCCACGGTTTGTTAATGCGGGTTGGAAACTTCTAACGTTTTCCAAAGACCTTCTTTGACTGCGGATTTCATCACAATATTATCCTTTAGCGTCAGCGAGATGCAAAACATTCAGAAATGCAATAGTGAAATGTTGGTAAATGTTAAATGAATAAATACAGTCGGCAGAGACGCAATGTAGTGGATTATGTGCGTAATATGTCTTTTCAGAGAAGACAATATAATATTAACAATGCTTAAGAATGTAACATCCCACATAGGTCAATAAAACCAAAACAAAATAAAACTTACCGCCGTAACCAAAGTGGCAAGCAAAAATCATGCAGCCCAAGCTGAAAGTCCACAACGGTCTACAGAATGCATTGATAAGGCCGTCAACAGGTCGGTTATCCCATTTAGTGCTTTTCATAGGGTGATGAGAGTATACTATTGTCGCTATTATAGCTAATGCAGCAATCCAGGTAAGTACCGCAATACCCTGAAAATAATTAAATATAATAGTCGACATGCAAAGAAATGGAAAACTGACTAGCTGCGCGTTTCAAGTTTAGGAATTTAAAGACATGTTATGATATCACGCGCATGCATTAGTAAGATCAGAATGAATAAAGTGAACTTTAAAACAATTGAAGCAGAGAAAATGTAGCTTTCGGGGCTAAGCAAGTTTGGGCATTCGTATATGCGTAATTAAATTTTATTAATATTTACACAGCTACGTTTCGAGTTGGATCTTTAAAGGAGAGTAACAACTTGAACACTTTGTCTACCTGTGTAGCCAAAAACTTCATGTGGTTGGAACGCGTTTGCTTATGCTGGGGCCGCACTTGAGTTTATCGCTTCGAAACAATTTGTATCGAAGCTTCGCATGTTTTGCGGTCACATTAACAGCTTCTTACTTTTAAACGAATTGTCATGTAATTCAAGAGTGCCGCTATACAATTTCCAGATCTATTGACTATGAACGACGACTTTCTTTACTACTACATTTGTGCTAAATTATGGCTTTATGGTAAACATTTTTTGGATCACATTATAATTGGCTCAGCTTCAAAATTGTTTAAAAATTGTTTAAAAAATTTGTTTAATATCATCTAAAACACACACAAACAGTCTAAATTGAATAACAGTAGGCCGATCACACAACACGCAGCATGTTTAACGCGCTAAAACCCGTCGATATTCCGTCATTCGAGAAAAAACTTGTACGCAGCCTGAACATAGTCGATTATGGGTGGTTGTATCTGCATGTTGATACGATATGATGATAATTGTGCGAAGTTTCGTGACGATAGACGCAAGTGCGGCCCCAGCAGTGAGACAATGTCGACTATCAGATCTTTGTATTTCATCATTACAATTTAATTTACCTTTGATATTCTCATTTGCTTTCCTCTATATACATGCAACAAGTAACCAAATAACATTCCAACAACAAAAGCAGCACCCCTGGTTAGAGTATTGTAGTAGTACAATTGCACGTATGTAGGATTTGTAATGCCATCACTGAAATAAATGATCACAATTTTCATATACCCAGACCAATATGATACATATAATTAAAAATACAAATGCTGAAAATGTACTTAATATAACGTTTAGCAACTTGTTTGTGGACGTTAGAATAACTAATACGATTATACCACTATTGAGAAAATAAAGTGAAACTTGTAGAACTATCTCTAAATAGGTTTTCTTGTTTTGTAATTAGGTCCATACAAACATGTAGTTAATACTTACTTAACAGTAAAAAGTGATGAAGGAAACTTATTAATAAAAACGTATATAGTGCAAGAAGTTATAATAGCTATAAGAGCACAACTCAATGAAATCCAAGCGGTAGTTTTTCTTCTTCCTAAAACCCAGAAGAGAAGTAACGGCGATAGAAGGTACATTTGCATATCAACAGCTAGGTACCACGTATGTCCAAGACACTGTAATAAAATACGTTGTCCATAATATAATCTTCAAACTATGTAAGCGATTTGTTAAGATAGCATAAAACAATAATATAATACAAAAGCGTCTGTGGACAATTCCCAAATTACTAGCTAAAGTTAAACTAATTATAAAATTATTGTTTTTTATTTTAGTTATATTAAGTAAATATGAAGTAGTTGGTACTATAGCACACGTACAAGAAAATTCAGATAAATTATATACTGACCAATCCGTTTCCAACGCCATTTATGTAGTTCTGCACGTAAAGCAAGGTCGTCCACCAATATAATCGGCAGTTTTGAGTGGCGTTGGCTACAGCATCCCAAACTGGGCCATCTGATATCCAGTGAAAGATGGATGCTTGGAAAAGAACTGCAGTTGCTAATAGAGGAAACAGTTTTAATAGCCGATTAAGGTAGAATACATGAAGGCTCCTCAGTAATTTCACTGAAAATGAAAATCTAATCAATTATAATGGCCGAGTCTTTGAATAAGAGATTGTTATCTCTTCATAAAACAAAACATTCTAAACAATCACGTAAATTATACGTAAAGGAATAGCGTACTTAATATGGAATATTCCGAAAGTTTGGATGAAAATAATAGACATGATGACGGTGAATGTCAAAACAATGAGAACATAAATAATAAATGATCTTATTAACTTTGCAATATAAAGATACGCATACTCACTTCCAGTCATGTTGTTGGCAGTCTTATAAACAAGCAATAATCCACTTAGCATAAATAAGGTATCCATAGCCATAGGGGCTGCTGTAATCCATAGTGAGTTGATCGATAGCGTATACTATAAAAAAGATAGTCACAGTGTTAGTATTGGTGTTACTGAAATTAACCAGGGTATTGTAAACAGTATAACATCATTTTGTAATTTGTTGTTAAAATGAATAAAATCAATATATATCTTAGTTCTTTCATCAACAGCAGTAAAAATGACAGCAATGTCTTCTTGTACTTACACTTATCCTCACGCTTGTTAGACCGTTGTTCCATTTAAGCAATCTAATATAGAGATTGGTGCAGTTTTATAAACTTTTAAGAACAGCGTAACAAAGAACAACTTACATTTAGATAATAAAGCAAATTTTGTTTCTGAGGCATCAAAAAGAATGTATGTCCAATGATAATCCACATTATCGAAATACTTCTTATTCCATCCAAACATTCTACAGTATCAGAGTTTGAAGTAAATGTGAGTAATTGTCGAGTATTTGTATAAACTGAAAATAGTTTGGGCTTGATGATCAATAGCGTTGTGACTGAAACAGAAATTAATTAATGTTTTCACAAAAGGTAATACTTTTTTTTTAAATAAATGAACACAGTGACGAAAAGTAAAGTAAAATATTCGAAAAGTTTATGCTAACTCAATTACTGTCCTAGTTCGGTAGGAATCATATTTTTCATAGTGAACAATACGGGTTTACTAGTGGTAGATCGACTAGCGATGCGGGGGTAGCGTTACTAAAACACATCTTTGTTGCTTGGGAAAGGTCCCAGAACGCTATTGGTGTTTTCTGTGACCTCTCAAAGGCATTTGATTGCGTTGATCAGAATACTCTTATTAGGAAGCTGGAACATTACGGTGTAAATGGCAAGGCGTCGAAACTTGTCTCGTCATATCTCAACGGTAGAATTCAGAAAGTAGACATAAATGGAGTGACTTCTGTGGGTTCTCCAGTAAAAATGGGTGTTCCGCAGGGCTCAATACTTGGACCTTTCTTATTTCTGATTTATATTAATGATCTGCCATTCTTTGTTAAGGACCATTGCGAAATAGTGTTGTTTGCTGATGACACATCCTTGATTTTTAAAACAGACAGACATGACATTAACTATGACCGTATTAATGATACCCTCTCTAAGGTAGTTTATTGGTTTAATGCTAACAATTTATTGCTTAATGCCAAGAAGACAAAATGTGTTAAATTTGAATTACCTAACGTAAAATCGACTAGTCCAAGCATAGAAATAAACGGAGAAAAGTTAGACCTTGTTAATAAAGCAGTCTTCTTGGGAGTGACCTTAGATAGTAAACTTCAGTGGTTTCCACATATATCGTCTCTGGCCAGCAGATTAAGCTCCGCTGCATACGCAGTCCGCAGAATACGTGAGCTTACCGATGTTAGTACTGCTAGACTAGTTTACTTTAGTTACTTCCATAGTATAATGTCCTATGGGATTCTCATGTGCAGTCGGCAGATATTCAAACCATATTTGTATTGCAAAAACGAGCGATTCGGTCTGTGTACCGTCTAGGCTCTCGGGTATCTCTCAGATAAAAGTTTAAGGAGACTGGTATCATGACTGTGGCATCACAGTACATTTACTCAAATATTTTATATGCCCATAAAAATATACATAATTTCAATAAGAAAGAAGATATCCATAATATTAACCTTAGAGCTAAGTCCAAACTCATGGTACCACGATTTCGTTTAACCAAGGTAAACAACTCTTTTATGGGGAACTGTATACGTTTTTACAATAAGATTCCGGAGCATATATTAAGTTTATCATTTCCTAAGTTTAAAAACTACATTAAAAATATTTTGATCGAAAAATCATATTACAAAATTGAAGACTACGTGTTAGATAAAGATGTATGGAAAGACGACATGGCTCCAGAATCCACACAAATTTGATTCAAAGTGTATTCCAAAGCATTTAAGTTTATTTGAAAAGAGCAATCCCTAGAGTTTCTTGCTCGTTCTTCTCAGGGAGGTCAGCGTAGTGAACGAGCAGTAGCTTAAATGTGACATTTTCAAGTGTAAATTTATTTTACCTATGGAATAAATAATCTTTGACTTTGACTTTGACTTTGAAGTGACCAACGGTATTGCGCATTTGTTTAGTTGTGATGATAGATTAGTGGGATAACTGGAACACATCCATTCCTGTTAGCCCGTTCCACACCTATGTTGTGGATATTGCAAAGATTTGAACGAAGCATTTCCCTTCCACATTTATACGGCTGTGGAGTGGCATTTCCCGTCTGCAGACTTGTTTCCTAAACGCTATAACTTGGGCATTTTCAAGGCGAGAAAGAGTAAGCATTATTTAGATGCGTATGCTCCATCGTCGACCTCATCGTCACTTTCCATAAAGATCAAACGCGGACTTACTTTTTAAAACAGCAATAACATGTATACCTACGTGCACAATTGCGAACGTATATCACATAAGGTACTTCTAGTATATCGCAATGATATCAATGTTATCTATATGATGGAATCGTCTAATGCGTTACAATGAAAGAAATCTTATAAATTAGTGTATTATGATCGTTATTGGATCGATATTCTGTCATTAACTTTACTATGTATTTGATTTAATAGTATGGATTTCTAACGCATAATCGGCGAAATAAGGGCATAGTCGAGCCGCATTTCGACTACACCGGAATTGCAAAATAGTAGTCGAATTGTAGACTAAAGCCGTTTAGATGCAGTCGTATCGCCTTCACACTCACTGCGCACTGGCTGGACGCCAGATACACAAGCAATAGGCAATTGTGATGTTTTAACTACGCAATTAGATACATAGCGACTGTAAACTGTCAACCGGTACTATCTCAATTTCGACAACTTTACAGGATGAAGAAAAAATCATTTATATAGCATCTGGTTTATTAAATAAAAATGCGTAATGTATATACATACATGTGTAATAAAAATATTTAAAAACCACGTATTTTTATTTAATAAACCAGATGCTATATAAAAACGCAAATAATTTTTATCTTCGTCCTGTAAAGTTGTTAAAACTGAGATAGTACCGAATGCCAGTTCACAGTTGATAAGTATAAACTGGGTAAGGTTTGTGAGTAATTTTCGACCGAAGACGCCATTTCAATCTGAGCAGTGATAAAAAACGCACACAGACAGGATTCCTATCTGTTTTGCTCCACAAAAATGCGTGCAATTAAAAATATATTTTCTAATTTTTTCTAAGTAATACAATGTTAACAATTTTTTGCTTGATTCGGGACAGATATTATTTAATAAACAATGGTGACAAGAGACTTACCAGGTTTTAAATATATCGATTCCCAGATATCGTAGCTCGTACTTAACAATGTAAGTAATCCCAATAGTGAAAATATTGAGCTGAAAAAGAAATAGAGTATCGAAGACAAAATTGTTATCAGTAATTACAGGTTTCTTACCACGGTATGGTTTCTTTTTATTTTCCCGATATTTCAGAACGCTCCATGGTCACGGGTTGTCTATCAGTGGCTGATCATAACTTTAAGAAGAGACATATCTGTATCCCCCTTCACTGACCACGGCTACTTGTGGCATTACCATTGTCACTCACTTTTTTCCGAACCATTTTTGCGTTTATGTCTAGGCTAGAACGTTCCGAAGTATTGGGAAAATAAAAAGAAATCATACCGTGGTAAGAAACCTGTAATCATTTAGTAAATAACCACGAAACTCTTAAAATCAATTATTACAATCAACACAAGCAAAAAGCAATTGATAAGCTTGCATTTCTTCTTGTCGTATCTTTGGCACACACTTGGCTAATTCTTTCACCACAAGGTACTCGCTCACATATACGTCGTTGAGAAGGCTGCTTTCGTGTACCATATGAAAGGAGTTTGACCAAACTTGACGATTCTACTACTCTTGATAGTTACTTGTCTATGTTTTATGTTACTTGTCTAAACTGCCTCTGTGGCCGTACGGTTACCACGATTACCACGGTTACTACGGACTGCCACGCAGAGGTCTCAGGTTCGATTCCTGGGCCGGGAGAAATATTTGTATGGCCTACATTTATTTCTCTCGTGAGTTTGGGTCTAATTTGTGGTTGTCTATGTGTGTGTCCATGGCACCCGCGACAAAGGGTTTCCCTAGTGCGGGGCTATGTTGAGTATGTGTGTTATTATTATTATTATGTCTTTCAAGACATTAATTCTGATCGCTATTTATTTACTCTGGTAAACACAGAATCACACGACAGCAGTTTTCATACTAGACAATACTTTCCAAAATTCAATCCGGAGTCATTCAAGTTTTTCGAAAACAGGTGAGTAGCATTATTATTGAGAAACTTTTTAATCCCGTAAAATGTCATTTCAAATATGAACCTAAAATCCAAACTGTTAAGGTAAACTTTTAATTGATTTAACAAACGGTTATTATGCTCTGACACGGACATACTTACAAGAATAACATCCGTTGAGGTATAGAATATCTTTAGCGTAACAGCTAAAGAGATCTGAACGGGTAAGGTAAATTTTTTATTACAGTATCTGCCGAACTGGCGAGAGAATTATAAACAATACATTTGAATGGAACTGACCATGCAGTTGGCAATTTACGTAAAAATGTAATAGCTCCGAAGCTCGGACTTTAGTAAACAGTATTTTAATTTATTTCGTGCATGTAAAAGTTATTTATGCAATCGCTGCATAATGAGGGTTCTTAAAATCAAGTCGTGTTTACCTAAAGTACCTACGTAATAGGTGCGACATTTTAAGGCCCATAAATAATGGTTGCATACAATACTTTATGTACACACATAGCTATCATAAACTCTCTATACGGTGTGACATGCGCGAGAATAGTTATTTTTGATACAAGTGCGGAAAGTTAGTCATTATCCATGAGCCACGAGGCATCTTGCAAGACTCGAGACAAGTGAAAATGACAAACCCGCACGTGTATCAAACGACGTTTTTTAATACATTTGCGAAAAAACTACATTGAAAGTAAAATAAAACAGTATTTAAAAAAACTCATTTTATTTCTTTGTCTGATAAAAATTCGGAGTATAATGGCAACTGTTGCCAGTATTCAGCCACATTAAAATTACTATTTTAGTGGCGCGGCGCGCAGCGGTCTCACGTAGCACTCACCTTCGGTCATTGTTAATACTCATTCAGCCATCTTTATGGAAAATATTTTAGTATTTTTAAATGTAACCTGTTGTTTTATAAAATAACTATGCAATTTAAACAAATAAGATGATGATGATGAGACTTACGTCACAAAGCACACATTGTAGTACGAAAAATACCACGTTTTGAACAACTGTATTAAAAAAGTTTTTTTTTGCCGCCATTTCGCCAGTTCTTTTTTGAAACTCATAAAAAATTTTCAGAACTGAAATAAGCACCTCCTTCATATGGTTCATGAAATTATAATTGACAGATTAAACTACAGGAGTAGAATAAACTCAGTACAGACTACTAAAAAAACTGACCTCAAAAGTTCGAGGAATTACATATAATTGCCAAGTTTTTTTGGTTACCGGAAAGTGCGCGATACCGGATTCATCCCCTAGTTTGACACACTTAGAGATAGAATATTTGCTTCAAATTCAATTGGAAGCAATACTGATACCCTTTTTCCAACAAAAAAAATCATCAAAATCGGTTTACAAAAGCCGGAGTTATCGCGTAATGTACATACAAAAAAAAAATGCAGTCGACTTAAGAACTTTTCCTTTTTTCATATCTCTTCATATTGTCTTGAGTCGTACGACTATGTACATTGAACCATGTTTAACTAAATATAACTGAACTTACATCATAACATAATCAGCTGGAGCCCAAAGTTTATCATGTTTAACTCGACAGTATCGATCATTATATTGAAAATAAATGCCAGTAAAGCCGTAAATGCCGTCCATAACTTCCTGTGTTGTACATGGCTTTGGAACACACACAGCCAGTTTGAATGCCATTGTCGAGTTTTGGTCAACTGTTTTGGAACTGCAAAAATATATTTAAGTAATTATTACGTGAGAAGAGAAAATCAGAGGTTTTTTTTTCTAGACTGGTCAATTAGGAACTAGTGACATAATCAGGTAAACAAAAATAACGAATCCACCATCTCTCAGTCCGCGCCTGTCAGTTGCCAGGCCATGCAAAAAAGATCACCACAATGTGTTGCATGGAAAGCAACGTCTAACGTCTGTAATCATGGAATACTAACGTATTTAAAATACCAATACATGGACAGGCAGCGTCGATAATATGTTGAAGTTGAAAGGAAATATTTTGTGCTATAGGCAAAGTCGACGCGTTACCTGAAAGGGTTAAATTTGCCTGCAAGCAACGTTTGCCAGCGGCGTTAGAGGGCCAGATAATATTTTAATATACCTATTATAATATTTAAATAAAAAAATAATTAACAAAATAAGGAACAGGACTAAATATAATCTCCGCTTGCAAACAAAACTGCTTTGAAACTATGAAAGTTTCAACTTCGCTGATAGTACAAACAATTCGTTGGGGTTCTCCTTCCGGAAGGTAGGATAGTTTAACCATAATGCTACCTATTTCTTCATATTCTAAGCCACCTTCTAAGTAATAAAATGACTTAATATAAAAATAACATAATTGTGAATCTTGCAAAATAAATTAGAATGAAACGTAGAAAATAAAACGAATACATTGTGTTTCATATCGAGTTCTTAGATTTTCGCGATTGTTACACATAGGAAATGAAACTGTTTTTCCATATTTAAATGGTCACGGAATACTAGTCAACCGTGACCATGGGACCTATAAAGGGCCGAAACGTTGGTTTGTTTGAAAAAACAAATATACGCGATTTAAATCCGGAAAAACAGTTTCATTTCGTTATTGTTACACATAAACAATTTGTTTCGGATCTTTTTTTATATAATACCAAGTGACGGGACGAACAAGTCGTGCACCTGGTGATAAGCGACACGCTTATCCATAACAGTTGCAGTGCCACTCAGAGCTTTAACTAGCAAAAACCTGAGGGTCACTACCATTGCGCCCGTCACCCTGAGACATAAGTTGACAAGTCCCATGTGCTTGTAATTTCACCAGCACCCTTACCCTTCCAAACCGGAACGCAGCTATGCTCACGTTCCTGCTGGGTGACAGAAATAAATAATGTGACAGTACTTCCCTGGACGAACTCTTTCACAAGGAGCTCTATTGCCAACAATTAAAAACAAGCCAACGTTTCGGGCCCTTTACGAGTACCATGGTCACGGCTGGCTGAGACGATAAAGTCATAAACCAGTTACCTCTAATATAAATGCAAACCACCCTATTTTTTACAATAGTTACAAAAGTTATTAATGAACTATCTTATTTTTAGTTTTTCCAAAGAACTCCAAATTACGCTACTTATGTTTAACAAATTATGTTTTTTTGTTTTAACAGTATGAATTTCTATTAAATTAAATTTATTATTAATTATTTATGGAAATTAGAATAAACTTGGGGCGGTGTGACCTCCTTACACCGTTATCTCACCTTTTTGCATCGTATAATTTTTTCTTTTGCTTGTATTTAAATTTTAAATTTGAATTGTTCCATCTTCCTTCACTTTTTCATTTTTGCTTCGTACCATGGTCTCTTTTTGTTAAGTTCTTTTCAAGTTTAATCATAATACAATCAATGTACATCTTGTATCGACCATAATGCGCGAATACCAGTCTATCCAACATTTGTAATTCAACATAATACAACCCGATAAGGTTTTTTTACTTTACCTTTCGTTTTACTTTACTTCGTTAAATAAATTTGTGGACCGGAAGTTTTCTGTTTTACTGCCGTGATCCTGGTTCCTGGACGACTAGTTAGGGTTACAACTCTTTCAAACTAAAACACATTAATTGGTACTTCAGATTTTTCATTAGAGGAACGTAGGTACCGTAAATTAGAATGTTCTTTGGAAACAATTAAAATAAGACATTTGTTCATGATACCAAGTTACGGGACGAACGAGTCGTGAGCTTGGTGGTAAGCAACACGCTTGTCCATAACAGTTGCAGTGCCACTCAGAGCTTTACATCACAAAGATCTGAAGACACGCCCTTATCCTTCAAAACCGGAACACAATGGTGCTCACATTACTGGTTGGCGGTAGAAATAGGTAGACGAACTGTATCACAAGGAGCTAAACTGGTACTAAACATATACTGCAAAATTCAATTGTCTACCCAGGGAATAAGAATCAAATTCCCTCAACCTCACATCAAAATATTAGCTACATGGTTTGTAGTAAAACGTACTAATTCCAATTACATACAAACATTTTAAGTAAAAGAAATAACCATTTAACGACTTTAAAGGAAATGAAACCGAAGAATGGTATTAACCCACTACTTACACTTTTAGGAATTCTAGGAAGAACATTATTATCTACTGGTATGTAGGTATACCAATCACACTTCAAATACGTAATACAAAATAGGATTCGACAATCACTATAATGTCATTGATAAAAAAATAATAAAAACCACTTTTTAAATGGGACTGTAGTCCAAATATTATCTGTAAATCATACTGATAGTTATTTTAAACTTTAAAGTGGACTAGTTGTCACGGTTTACACGGGTGACAATCAACCGTGACCATGGTACCTGGAAAGTGCCTGAAATGTCGTTTTGCCTATAAAAACAAATATACACGATTTAGATGCGGAGAAATAGTTTCATTTCCTATGTATAACAATAGCGAAAACCTTAGAACTCGATAGTTGTACAATTAATGATAGATAGTGAGAGATTAATTCCTCTGATTTCGCGATACATAGAACTATTTGTTTGAAATTTGCTGAAATATGTAATTGGTTTTTATCAAAGTTTATATTGATTTATATCCTACTGTCTTTTGGAATTTATTATCATAACTTGATAATGCTAATGATGACGTAATTTTTGTAAACAAACACTTTGAATATGTTCCCTACGTAAAAGAATAAATTATTTTAATAACTTGCCTTTCTTTCGATCCAAACATCGCTTTGATATCTTCATTGTATCGTTTGATATCTTTAACAGTGTCATTATTGACCTTAAGTTTAATTGGATTAAAGTCAGCCCAATCTGGTAGTTCAGGTACGGCGAGTTGATTATTTTCACCGGCAGGAACGTCAATGAAGCAAAACTTTCCTTCAATAGTTGAATCGTCCGTTTCTTTCCTGATCCCAAGACATTGGTGGTAGTTTCCCCAGTCTTCTAAATTGCCTAGTGTAATTCCCCTGGGGATCCTCAATCCTGAGTCAATAACTGTCGAAAAATAATACATTTATATTAAGCGTATCCGAGACATCAGTCGTTTAGTTAATGTCATTAACCCCAAAACTGTTTTTCAGTCGTTTTATGCGATATGTAATTCTTTTTTTCACGCGTTTCATCGCAGTGTCTTTTATTTATTACTCCTACTGTGTAACAGGTTACATTCAATGGAACATGTTTGAGATACAATTTAAAGACAATCTAGAATCACCTAATACTTGTACCTACATACAGCGTTGTTATGCAAAGTGTAAACATATTCTGCGTAAGGATTTAAAAAAGGGAAAAGTGAGATTACAAACTTAAAACCAATACGAATAAAGACTAACACAGATATAATTTTGACAATATTATGAGAAGACGAGTCGAAGTAACTGTTGTCGAAAACGTCTATGTAACCTCCAGATTCTGATGTTAGTAAAGCACTGTCGGTTCGGCACATTTCAGTCAGACAGCTATAAAAGAATGTAACATTTCTATAAACACACATCCTAATCTTAGCCCCCGACGCAAAAAGAGGAAAGTAATAAAGCATGAAACACAGAGAGCGGGTGCGGGTTGGGAACGCGACATGTTTAATTCCGTGTATTTACATGGACTACCACATACGATGTGTTGGTGTCCATATAAATACATGGAATTATAGTCTGTCTTTTTTGAAAACGGAGTAAAATGACAGTTTACTGCGCAAAAGTGTTGCCCGCTTGCGAGCAGCTAGTAATTGCAGTCGATAAAATATATTCTATCGACTATCGACTGATATTGGTCACGCTTATAAAATAAATAGCTGAATTTATTTCATTTGAATCATCCCCTATCCATTATTCATCTAATCATCACATACGTACAGTGCATTTAGAACTAAATTTATGAAAAATACAAAGAGGAGACATATTTTGAAGTTTTTCATTTTAATTCAATATAGATAATAAAATTCGGCTATTCTTGTCAAAATGTATATAATGAATAAAAATTTATCTCGATACTAGTATGACAACTGTCAAAATAAGAATAAAGAAGGCAATATTGCAATTAGTAATGATTTTTGCGGACCATTTTATTTAAAGGTATTGCGTATTAGAAAACCATTATAACTAAGGGGTATGTTGCACTCTTTGTTTGCTTCACGACTAAAGCAGTCCATATGAAGCTAGTTAGTGATCTCGCTACTGAGGCGCAGGAGTAATCATTAGAACGTCGTATTAGTCACAATACAGTCATTTGTGGCAAAATTTTATCTTTTTTTACAATCTGTCGATAAAACTATCGACAACAACTACATGACTATTTAAAATTTTATGAAAACTGGCAACCTTACAAATGTCATTTTACTCCGTGTTCAAAAAGACAGACTAATGACTCTTGAATGAGTGTTGTTTCAGGCTTTTGTTTGAAGCCTGTGTCTGTGTATTTATATGTTTGGCTATCTATATGTCCGTCTATGGCATCGTAGCTCCCAAACGGTTGGACTGATTTCAAAGCGGTCTTTTTCCTTTGAAATCATTCTAACCGAGATTTGAAACCCGATGGCGTTACAATAATAAGGTAACTCTGATTCTGCAACCAGAACAGCCTGCTGACTACTCAATTCCACAATTATTTACAGTAGAACTATCGTGTTAGGGCCTCATTAAATCGGGCTCGATGAGTTATTGGCTTACAGAGATGATGACTTTATTGATATTTTGGGGCCCACTATTCTGTATCGGGGGTTTTCTTAATTTAAATTTATTCACTATTCACGAAACAAATTCCATTTTGAAAATCTTTCACAAATTTGACTTTCACAAGTTATTACACCGTAATAAAAGTTTTTATATAAATTTTCTGTAGGAAATGGCTATGATGAAGGAAGTTTTCGAAAAAATAAACATTCGTAGACTTACATTGTGTTAAAAGCGAAGGATCATTGGCAAGAATGTATAATAATTGTTTCTGACACAATTCCGGATTTAACAGATCTTCGTAAAACTGAGAATCAAATGGTGGATTCTTTGGCTCCCAATCCAACTCCAGATGGCCATTTGTGAAGTTCATACACATAGCACATAAAAGAGCAAACTTAAATATATTTGAATTCATATTTATGAATTTCACTATAACTGATGCACAAATCATAAATACGAATGTACTTTTAAACAATTGTTTTTATTATAGTTATTTTTCACATCGCGAATATTTGTTATAAAAACGCGAATAATATAAGTGCAGGCATTTGCCAAATAAAATCTATACTTAACGTGTGTATACGAACAACTACAGAAACCACATTGACCAATTAGGTCATATCTAATCAGCAAACAGTTTTGATGTAGCGGTTTGATAATTGCAATAATCAATGGTACTTCTGCATAAAGATAGCTGAAACGACTAGGGGAAAAACATACGCCAAATAACGCATCGCATATGTATATAAAGTGACAACAATTTTCATAGAAACCAGTTAATGCAAGCTCAAAGTACGTTCTTCACCTATACATTTTTGAATTGATTCGAGATCGTTTAAGGCTACACGATCCGTTGTTTCAGAGTATGTCGTTAACGATTGACTTGGGAGTAGCGACGGATCTATACGATGATCGTGACGATTGATCGAAACGAGGAATCGTCTGTATAGGGGCTTTTACACGTTTATTTTTAACTGATTAACTGTCTGTATAATTAAATCATACTCCAAGACCTCGTTGGCACAATAACATTCCACTAGTTATTTGTGAATTTTACATGGTGTCTTTGCAGTATGGTTGCAGGTAGCATCTATTGTACGTAGTAACTGCTACCTTTTTTACTGTCGTAATTATGTGTAAGTCATGCTGTTCTTGGCGCGATTTCGGGCCGGTTCAAATGACAAGCGTAAGATGCGTAGTTAGCGCGTTTTGTTTTGCTAATCCGAGCTTACAACTACGCGTTTAATGGGGTCACCATATTATTTATTGGTTCGGAATTGCACGGTCACAAAAAGCTTTTCATCCATGGATTCCTTAATACATGTATTAAGAGAAACAATACAAAAAAGATGCAAATATTTCGAGCTTTAATAAGCCGATTCGCCGTTAATAAGTGTGGTGACTCTACTTGTAGGTACTAGCATGTAAACGCCCACACTACTAATGGATAAAATTCACGCTGCCCCTGCGCCCGTCACCCTGAAACATAAGTTGACAAGTCCCATGTGCTTGTCAATTCACCACTTCAAATTAAATGCTAATGGAAACGCTGTCTTCTTACCATTGTATTCCGTTGCTGACATTACATTTCAAAGACACGTGTTTATTTCTTCCGGAAACACGAAACCGTATTAAACATGACCCTGCTAAGGTTGGCGACCGCTTTAATGGATAAAAAGCGACCGTAAAAGGCCGCAAAAGGAGTGGCTCGCACAAAAGAGAGTTTTCATGCTTTGAAAATGTGAACGAGTAATGCTTTTTGCCCTCGCTTTGGGAAAACTGTATTATATAAAAATTTGCTAAAAGGGATGGCAGAAATGAGGGAAAAGGTTTTGGGTCATGATTTTAAGATGTTAATTACAATTTTATGTGACGAAAATGTAATGAAAATCTGTCTAGAAAAAAAAATTATTTTTAACACAAATCGTTGCTTTGGATGAACAGGGTATCAACTAAAAAATTTGGATTTTTATTTTAAAATGCAGTTCTATTAAAAAAATCGAGATCTTTCTAATGAACAAGATTATTGGATGTGAAATTGCGCGGGAGACAAGGGAGACAAGACAAGGACAATCTTTGAACTTTTTGCACGTTTTGGCCCCAAATATTGAGCAACACAGTCGTATTCAGTATTACACGCGAAGCTGTAGTCGTCAATACATCGTTGTTCATTGAACAAGGTATTAAAATTAAAACATGTGTGTTCATTATAAAATGAAGACGATTGTCAACCTTTTTGGGATAGGTATTTTTTTCTTTGAATTGTCATGGTAATCTAAAGTACAGAATATTTTTTTTCAGTTACTACTATGTTCCTCAAAGTTTTATCGAATTGAATATTATTCCTTCTTTCATTTAAGAGTATTAAGCATGAATAGTTTAGTTATAACTCTGAATCACAAGTATTTAAGTTCAAATGGGAAATTGTATAGACCTCTCTGAACAATTTCAAGATTTAGTCAAAACTACGAAACTGTATAACAATAAGAAGTATTCGAAAATACTGTTAAATTTGTAGGCTTTAAATACACATAGGTGAGGAGAACCAAATAATAATAGTAACTAAAATAATGCTAGAAGAAACTTGAAAATTGATCTCCTAAAAATCTGTATTTTTGAGGTTCATCTGGACCAATGGAATGTAAAAATAGCAATAAAAAGTACTCACTTTAGAAATTGTCATTAGGAAAAGAGAAAGGTCATAACATGGTCACAACCCATAGAACCCATTAGCCCAGATCCGGTGCAAACCTCACAATTGTGTTTATATTAGGTAAATAAATTCTATATTCTAATTTACATTAATAATTAATAATAAATTGAACTTAATAAAAATTCATTCAATAAAATAATTTGTAAAATTTAATATAGCGTAAATTGGAATGTTTTCTTTGTAAAATTAAAAATAAGGTATTTAATTAATAACTATTGTAACTATAGTGAAAACATAAGGTGGTTTGCATCAATATTAGACGTAACTAGTAGAAGACTGTACCACCTCAGTCAACCGTGACCATGGGACCTGTAAAGGGCCCGAAGCGTCGGTTTGTTTGACAAAACAAATATACGCGATTTAAATCCGGAAAAATAGTTTCATTTCCTAAATTCTATATGGTTTTTGTTTTCGATATCAGGAGCTAATATGTCAATATTGCCTTTTGTTTTTCAACAGGCGCATAGAATCGGGTAACTGATTTGTGAGTTTGGTATTTATTGTATGTCCTTGTACACTCGTAAACAAAAGCCTACTACAGTTTCGATTTTCTATTAATCGAAGAAAAATGTCTATGTATAGGTAGACATAATTATATAGGTAATGTACATAGCCTGGCGATAAACATATTTTTTGTGTAAAAGAACGAATTCCCATAATACACTAGCAGTGTAATGTTTTTATTTTGAATGACAGGTTCCTTATGATAGCACTAGAGCAATACATCACGCCTGATAATATTCTAGCAACCAATATGTATTCTACCAACCCGCACTGGGTGCGTTATTAGACGTAGATAATTAATTTTAAGAATATAATATATGGTTATATTATGGTTTTTATTTCTGTTTCTATTTTACATTTTACTATATTGTTCCTACCCTGATTGTTCACTGTATACTTTCTTATACCTAATAGCTTTTGGAGAATAGAGAACAAAAATTATGGCAGGTTTTTGTTTATACATGAACATACATTACGTAACTGTACTTATTTTTTATGAAAGCATGTCACAAGTCACCCTGAGACATAAGTTGACATGTTCCATGTGCCTATAATTTCACCAGCACGCTTACCCTTCAAAACCGGAACGCAGTAATGCTCATATTACTGCTTGGCGGCAAAAATAAGTAAGGTGGCAGTTTTTCCCTGGACGAACTCTTACACAAAGAGTTCTACTGCTACTAAACCTTTTACCGCACTTCTGGCAGACCTCCTTCGCCATCTCCACACCCATCAGTTTCTTCATACATGCCCCTTTGTACTTGGTACTTTTAACTTGGCCTTTCTAGAAACATCCCCAATCTGATAGAGATTTGTACCGAGGTGTACCTCTCCCTACACCTTCATCCACAGTAGCTATATTTTGTACCGTCAATCTACCAAGATTCATTCCTTGTACCTACATGCCCAAACCATCGAAGCACCCCTCTCTCTATCCAGGTGACTACATCTTTTATATCACAACGCTCTCTTACTTCATTGTTCAGCATTCAGTCTTTAAGACTACACCCACATAATATTTATTCATAGTATTGTGTCAATTCTGTAAAAGTAATGGCATTGTAAAATTATTATTAGGCTTATACCTAGGTAAAGAAACATTTTTTTGAAGAAAACTTGTAACTTACCACGCACTATGTACTTATACTCAGCTACTTATATAGTTATTGGCTTATACCTTTGAAGTTTGTCCATTAGCTGCAATGAATGATTTCAATGTAATTATTAGAGAATTTAAGTGACATCTGTGTTATTATTTGAGAACTAACAGAGCGTAGTTCAGTTCCGTGTGTCACATTCATACCAAACGAAGCGCCATCTGTTAAAATATTTCAAAAGCGGCGCCAGAACAGTTACTTTCTAGTCGTAGGACACCAACAACAAGCCAGCTTGCGTGTACTTACTATCATGAAGTTCCTACAGTCAATAAGAGAGGGCGTTACTTGTTTCTTCAAAAGTTTTTGTATATTGTGGAAGTGATAGGTGCCAGTATTAATAAGAAACCAGGCTACTACATAGTCTTATGAAGGCGGAGTACTGATTGAAGCAAAAAATATAAACCAGGGCTACACTATAGCATTATTTCAGTGGTTAAGAATTCATATGTATATTTATTTATAGCAAATAAAGATGTTACAAAAATCACTACGTGTTTTATCTTCAACAACTTCTACGCAGGCTTCCATTTCTCGCAAGTTAGCAAACATGCGGTTACACATTTTTTTATAGTCGTGCGCCTTATGGTAAGCTACACGCCTGTCCATAACAGTTGCATTGACACTCAGGGTCGTATTCTAGAACTCTACTCAATGCTCAAGTCAGGATTGCACTGGAAACACAAGCACTGGAAATACGACCCTAATGGCAGGGACTTGAGTATGATTTCGAGTGCTTTAAACCATACTCAAATTCTGACTTGAGCATTGAGTAGAGTTCTAGAATACGACTCTCAGAACTTTAAATCGCAAAAATTTGAGGGGCACTGCCTCCTTCACTCTGAGACATAAGTTGACCAGTCTCATGTGCCTGTAATTTTACCAGCACCCTTACCCTTCAAAACTGGAACGAAGTAATGCTGACATTACTATTCAGCAGAAATAGGGACGGTGGCAGTACTTCCCTGGACGTACTCTTTCATAAGGTACTCTACTGCTACTGCT